GCGATGGCCTCCAATCCAATAGCGATGGCCTCCAACCTAGTAGCTTCCTTCTTGTTACTAGTAATAATGCCCTTAGCCTGCAGTACTTTTTGAACCGCAATGGTTTTGAAGGCCACGCATTGTTCTCTTGTCCAAGACAGTCCAAGGTTTGTGCTTCCTGTGCTTCCTTATAGGCTGGGGCTGGCTGTCCATGTTCATATATATAGTTACTATTTTGCGTGTTTTGTGATGTGTGTACTGTGTGTACCTTTTGATTGTTCAAATCACAAGTTCCCTCCGTTATATAGATACTATACACATGGTTCCCTGTGTGCAATGGTTGTTTAATTGCTTTTTTTGTTTAATAGCCATGTTCACTGATTAGTATTCATGAATATTAACGACATGTATATATATATGTGTGATACAAGAGGAGCGAATATTAACTGCAGCTCAGCACGGAGCGAAATCAAGACTAAACAAGAGGAGTTGCAGCATGTTGCAGCAACATGTATAGATAGATAGATAGATATATAGATAGATAGATAGATAGATATAACATAAATAGTCTTATAACTATATATATATTTCGGGATTAGGGAGAGATTAGCCAAGTGACGGTGCACGTCACTTTACCTTAAATTGTTCACCGGTTGTTTGGCACAGCAGCTATGGAGCAGGGCATCTCCGTAGCCATTGGTTTGTTCTCATTTAGGGAAGCCGCATTACTTTGTTCGGCCATGGGGCAGCAGCTTGTGCTTGCAAGTGTCTTGATGACGGCTTCGGCCTTGGATGTGATTGTGGTCGGGGCCGGGATGGGCGGCCTGAGTGCAGCAAAGAAGCTCCAAGACAACGGCCACAGTGTCACCCTTTTGGAGGGAAGAGATCGCATCGGTGGCCGTACGTGGACGAGCCATGAATTGGGCTTCCCCACTGACCTTGGCGCCAGCTGGATTCATGGGGCAAGTGCTCAAAACCCTTTGACACCCTTTGTGACTGAATTTGGCATTGCCACAGTAGATGATCCAGATGAGCAGAATTGTCGCAACCTGCCTGGCAAGTCAAGTAAACTACCATGCCCTGCAGAAGACATGAACGTAATAATTATATGTCATTCAATTCCCAAAAAGGTGTCGATTCATGTCTCCTCAATCTTGAGATGCTTCGTGAGACCGTGAGTGTATTGCATTCTTTGTGAGGATATGACAAGGACGGTTACAAGTACGGAGCAGGGGAGCTTGCTAACTATGAAAGCTATTGCTGGGGCGCTGAGTCGTCAGGGTATGGTTCCACCACGGGCACTTTGGAGAGTGTTTTGAGGCCTTCGATCGTTGAACTTGCCTGTGTTCTTTTCTATTTTTCGTGATGTGGTGTTGACTGTGTTCTTAAAGATAATTTAAGATCTTTAGACCCTTTCTCTTTTCCTTTAGGAATATGGAACGATGAAGTGTTGAGGCTGATTGCTGTAATTGTTGTCCCGGCTGATGATGCTGATGGTGAATCAAGTTGATCCCTGAAAGGGGCTATGATCCGGCTTTTTTCAGCACCGTGGAGGGGGAGATGTGTTTGGCTACCCGAGATTTCAATCAAGGCTCGACAATTGACAAAATCAGCGTTGCGAACATACCATACAGCGAGATCAGGGAAATTTGGAGCAAGTTGAATAAGTTGTTTGTTTGTGTCTTTCTTGATTTACTTATATTTATATTTATATTACACGTCTTACATATATATATATATATGTGTATTCACTACATGTACTATGGAGGTAATGTACATGTGTGTGTTATTGTGGGTTATATCGATCTCAACAGACGTCTACTGACAGCGGGTGTGTGACAACCTGCTTGGCCAAGGAAACTGGTGGACCAGAACTCATTTTCCTTGACGGCTACAACACCTTGACTGACAACTTGACCGCTCAATTTCAAGCTGCAGGCGGCACAGTTGTGACGAGCGCCACAGTGACCCAGGTCAACTACTGTATGGGTTTCAGCCAGGGAGGAGAGCGCCCTTCCTGCAACGCGAGTGTGAAAACTGTCCAAACCGGTGGCTCGACAATGGCCGACTATACCGCTGATGCTGTAGTTGTGGCTGTGCCTTTGGGTGTGCTGCAAGCCAATGCAGTGACATTCTCCCCATCACTTCCTGCCTCGTACACTGCTGCCATAGCACGGATGCAGTTTGGTGTTGTGAACAAAGCCGTGGCAGTTTTCGACACTGACTTTTGGTCTGCTGGGTGCAACAACGAACTCATGCTTGCCATCAACAAGCAGAATGCCACCATTGACTCTCGGGGAATGTTCCCGTACTTCATGAACACCAATCGTGTGTGGCCAGGAAAGAATGCTTTGCTGGGCTTTGCAGTTGGGAGGTATGCCATTGCTTCTGAACAGAAGACAGATGCAGAAGTGCAGGCCGATTTCATGTCCAGAATCCGTCAGCAATTTCCAAGTGCTCCCAACCCGACACGATTCATTCGATCAAAGTGGGGCTCGGACCCATTTGCAAAGGGAAGTTATACCACGGATGCAGGCATCAACATGGAAATGAACGAGTTGCGGCTTCTCAGTCAGGCAGTTAGTGCTTCACTCACATTTGCAGGAGAGCACACCAGCCCGGTGTGGGCGGCCACGGTTCATGGAGCATATCAGTCTGGCCAACGCGCCGCTGATGACATTCTGAACGGTGCGTCAGCTTCTGCAAGTGCTGACTCTAGACACCCTTGTTTTTTCTTGTTGGTCCTTGTTGCTGTTTCCCAGGCACTATAAGGTGTCATGAGCTTTTTGAGAGTGCAAACTCTAGACAATTTTCTTTTCCTGTTTGCTGCTACCCAGGCACTGTAAGGTATCAGGGCAGCAGAGCTCACAAACCCCACTGGCCGGGCCAGAAACTGGCCCTACGGAACCCACGACGGAAAATGAGCGAGGCGACTTGCGTCAACAGCTCTTGCTTGGCAACCTGGAGTTTACAATGCGACACTGTACAGTATACAGTTGTTGCTAAGTGAATGGGACAAACCAAGACAAACCCCTGCAAGAATAGCAGCACCACAGACTGTTGCAATATGAAGGCCACAAAGTGTGTTTTCGTTTCAGCCTGACTTTCAGGAGCGGGCTCATTGCTCCAGAAACTGCAAGCTCAGCACGGAGCGAAATCAAGACTAAACAAGAGGAGTTGCAGCATGTTGCAGCAACATATACATAGATAGATAGATATAACATAAATAGTCTTATAACTATATATATATATATCGGGATTAGGGAGAGATTAGCCAAGTGACGGTGCACGTCACTTTACCTTAAATTGTTCACCGGTTGTTTGGCGCAGCAGCTATGGAGCAGGGCATCTCCGTAGCCATTGGTTTGTTCTCATTTAGGGAAGCCGCATTGAAGTTTTAAGGTGCTCGGACTTTGTTCGGCCATGGGGCAGCAGCTTGTGCTTGCAAGTGTCTTGATGACGGCTTCGGCCTTGGATGTGATTGTGGTCGGGGCCGGGATGGGCGGCCTGAGTGCAGCAAAGAAGCTCCAAGACAACGGCCACAGTGTCACCCTTTTGGAGGGAAGAGATCGCATCGGTGGCCGTACGTGGACGAGCCATGAATTGGGCTTCCCCACTGACCTTGGCGCCAGCTGGATTCATGGGGCAGGTCCTCAAAACCCTTTGACGCCTTTTCTGGCAGAATTCGGCATTGCAACCGTGAGCGATGCAGATGGACAGAAGTGTCGTGACCAGGACTTTGGAGTATCAGTCCCATTTTTCTTTGGTGAGGATAGAGAGGCATAGCAAGAGGCAGGTTCAAACCTAGCAAAGTACAGTTGCAGTGTCCTCGCATGCTGCCCTTGTATCCTCGGTCCCGACCTCGATTGATCGATTTATTAAAAACTGTGACTTCTCATGAAGATGTTTCGCATTTGGAATTCGGCGTGCAAGGTTATGACACTGATGGCTACAAGTACTCGCCATCAGAGGTGAGTAGCTGGGAAGACTATTGCTGGGATGCCGATGAATCTGCAGCTGTACCCACCACTGGCACCCTGGAGGCAGCCTTGAGGTGTCAGGGTTCCACGGAAATCGATCACAGACGGCCACATCATGAGGCGATCACATGCTAAGTAAGGGTACAAGAGGTGCCGTGATTTGTTGATATGTGGTGTATGTATGTACTGCATTCCCATTCTATTCTTTGTGGTCTATTGGGTGTTCGCGACTATGCTGAAGCAGACTCCCACTATAAAAGTTTAATCGGTGCAATAGAGGCTGGCTGATCATGTGTTCAAGCATATTTCTCGAGAGCACTCCCTATCTATGTGTGTTTGTGTGTGTGTGTGTGTCAACTCCTGTTTCCAAGGAGCTTTGTCACACTTAAACATTTGTACAGTTCAGCAGGGGGCACGGCGACCGTGCACCTAGCCGTGCTAACAAAGCTGTGGTGTTCGGTTGGATGAGATACTGGACGCAGCATCTTGTACCTGCAATCACTTGTTTGACATGTTGACCAAGCTGTTACTCCAATTTTCCTGTAAAGTGCTAATTAGTGAGTTTGTAAAACAGTTCTGTTCTTCGGACCCTTTTCGCCTTACCGTTTTTGCAAGTCAAGGGCTAGGTATTCACGTAAAGGGCTAATGCGTCCGGATTTTCATAACTGATAGAGCTCTTGCGAGCATGGATCCAAGTGTGTGTGTGTGTGTGCGCGCACGCGCGCAGAGTGCTTTGCAAACATCATGCTTGAGAACTGCTTCGCTTGCACTTCTGAGCGGGCCCTTCAAGTCGCCCTGCCTTTCTCTTCACACGCTTTTCGTTGCCTGTCTGTGTTGTAAACCCCAAGCTGATCAATGGCTCAACCAATCCTGCTAGGAGCTATGATCCGACTTTCTTTAACACTGTGGAGGGGGAGATGTGTCTTGCGGGCTGGGATTTCAATGAGGGCTCTGCTTTGGATTTGGTCAGCGCGGCGAACATTGCCCAGAGTGAAGTCACGGTGACTCGACATAAGTTGGAAAGATTGATTGGTTCGTTTTGTTTCTTCACGTCTAACCTACCCAGTACTTTGGGCCAAACCCTTCAAGCAGCATGGTGGCTCTGACATAATTAGTGGCCCTTCACGCTTCGGCATTGACACCACGCACGCCAGAATGCTGCTGGACCTGGCCCAGAGCTGCTCATTTTCGATGGCTACAACACCTTGACTGACAACTTGACCGCTCAATTTCAAGCTGCAGGCGGCACAGTTGTGACGAGCGCCACAGTGACCCAGGTCAACTACTGTATGGGTTTCAGCCAGGGAGGGGAGCGCCCTTCCTGCAACGCGAGTGTGAAAACTGTCCAAACCGGTGGCTCGACAATGGCCGACTATACCGCTGATGCTGTAGTTGTGGCGGTGCCTTTGGGTGTGCTGCAAGCCAATGCAGTGACATTCTCCCCATCACTTCCTGCCTCGTACACTGCTGCCATAGCACGGATGCAATTTGGTGTTGTGAACAAAGCCGTGGCCGTTTTTGACACTGACTTTTGGTCTGCTGGGTGCAACAACGAACTCATGCTTGCCATCAACAAGCAGAATGCCGGCATTGACTCTCGGGGAATGTTCCCGTACTTCATGAACACTAACCGCAATTGGAAAGGCACCAATGCTTTGCAGTTGGGAGGTATGCCATTGCTTCTGAACAGAAGACAGATGCAGAAGTGCAGGCCGATTTCATGTCCAGAATCCGTCAGCAATTTCCAAGTGCTCCCAACCCGACACGATTCATTCGAACAAAGTGGGGCTCGGACCCATTTGCAAAGGGAAGTTATACCACTCCGTCTGGCCTCAACGCCGAAATGAACGAGTTGCGGCTTCTCAGTCAGGCAGTTAGTGCTTCACTCACATTTGCAGGAGAGCACACCAGCCCGGTGTGGGCGGCCACGGTTCATGGAGCGTATCAGTCAGGCCAACGTGCTGCGGATGATATGCTGAACGGTGTGCCCACACCCATTTCAACAGCATATGCTTGCAAGCATGCTGTAGCAGCGGACCTTTTTATCCTGTTTGTTCTTTTGGTGTCCAGTGCATTCTAAAAATCGAACATGTTAGAAGATATGTCAGTCTCGATTGATATTTTCACCGAAATGGTCCATAGAAACGACCTACGGACCATTTGCTTGCCCAAAAAATGGAACAACAAACATGCGACCTCGCTGCTTTCTACGTTGATCCTCGCTTCCCCACACTTGTTCGATCACAAAAGTCTGGAGTTTGGTGTATTTTCAGAGGACTCCCAACAACAACTGTAATGTAGACTTTTGATTAATACCCCCACTTGAATGGAAATCCTTTTCAAAGGGGGGGTTTATCAATCAAGAGTCGACATTATTGCGATTGATTCTGAGTCCTTCACATTTCTCGGCAGGCGAGCCGCTCGGACTGAAGCGCGGGCTGAGTCCTGAATCATGAATGATATGATTCGGCCGAGTGCTGTCCATGTAGTCCACTTGTCCATGTGGTCAGCAACGTGAGGGAGGAGAAACCACACACAAAAAGAAAAACGCAACCGTACTTAGTTGCTGCCAAGAAGCAGTAGGTCACTGCGGCTCAATTCGTATGGCCGCGTCAGCGATTCATCTCTTGTTGAGTTGAGCCAGACCAAAAGTTGATTGAATGACAACTTCAAATGAATGAGTTCACTATGTTCAATTCTATGTGCACGTCTCCGTCTCAACATACCAGTCGGTGGATGAATCGTTTGGCATATTGACAGGTAGTCAGCGGGGCGGAATTCGAGTCTGCATTGCTTGCAGCGGACATGCTCCGAACTCTGAGTGACAGGTATTGTTTGGTGACACCCTGTTGCTCAATGTTTGGGGGCAATTGCACTTACATGAACCTTCAAGTGTCCGTTCTTTCAGACACCCAGCTCATCAGCCTGAGTGTCTCAGCGTGTTATTATAATGATATAAGTTCTGGCAGCCGCTCTAAAGCACTCAAAAGGCTTCAGGTGTTGCCTTGCCTGCAATCTTTTGCAGATGAAACGGTGTGAAAAGGAATCACTTCATTTGTGCGAAATCGTTTTCAACAGGGTGGGAAGTCCCCCTCTGAGAAGCCCCAGCTTGGAAAAGGGGTTGTGATGGTTGTGGTTCGGTTGAGCTCTTGGACTTCGGAAGGCGTTGGCGTGGGTAAACAAGGTCTATATGTAATCGATGACTGCCCCTTGATTTGTGCAGCATCTTCCAGTCGCAACCGATGTAGGCGAATGGACTCGAAGACAAGAAAGTGCCGCATTGATTTTTTTGTCATTGGAGCACGCTTGAGACATGACAGTGGCTTAGATGTTCAATGGCGAGGTTGAAACAGTGATTACAGTAGCTTTTGATTTTTGTCTTTGGAGCTTCACTTCTCATGCTGCAATGCTCACACCGAAATTGTCCCCGTATTTGCCCTTCCCGGCTTTAATTAGAGAGCTTCCCTGTGCCGCCTTTGAATGAGAGTCTTAGGATGTCATGGTGAGTCATGATTGTTTTTGGCGGTGCACTTCGCGTTGCAAATCTCGAAACGAACCTCAAGCACTGCTTACATAACATATATCAATTAGATAATTATATAGGACGAAGTCTAGTGATGAAGCTTTCTTTTGGTTCAAACGTGTCCAAACAATCATGCGTCATTTTGGACTTGCATCAGGGAGTTGTGCACGTTGCTTCCATCCGTTCTCAGGTGGTATTGATGCCCTGAACCCCATCCTGGAAGTGGCTTGGGGCCGAAAAGACGATAATCGTGCGATGCCAAAGAAATGCAAGCACACAGGCTGGAGAACAAAAGGGCGGCAATCTATTTTGTGTCAGCAACCGGCAGTTGGCCAACGTGGACTGCTCATACTGTGCGCATTCAGAGTCCAGAGCATATGACAAATACCCGCATTGTCTCCATTGATTGTTCCGATGTGATTGCCTTGGTCAGAACCATCACAGCGCGTGGTGCACAATAGCCGCTTGCCATGTTACTGACTGTGCGCAGTGAATGAGCTTGAATGACTCAAGAATGATTTGGAAAACATCGCAGATTTGACAGTAAACGAAGTGTATGTTGATCAGACAGCTCAGAACGGTCACGTCACCTCGGTTGAAAGTCTATTGAGACACACGCTGCATAGATGGACACGGACAGCTGTTTTTCGATTTGCTTGGTCTAACGTTTCAAGGGCTTTCGGAAAGACTTGCCCCAAGGATTCAACTGGTTGCAAACTGTGTCCCTGAGACTTGTATGCATTAGCGGAATTACTTCCGTGGATTGCCAGCACACTAAAGGCTGCAACAGATCATTTTTGTTTGTGCACCATGCTGCTCTCCAAAGCTTTGACATGAAGAGCACATGAGTTGTCGCCTCTTTCATGACCAGAAGATGCAAAGGAAAGTCAAGCTGGCTGAAGATGACATGTTTCAGGAGAGGGCAATGATATTGCTGCTGAACTCACTTTGGAATATAGAATTGCTTACTGTAGGTGAAACGGCCAAAACGCTCCGGAGCTTTTGGGCTTTTTGGTGTTTTTGGGCGAGGAGTACTTGGAGTTGAAGCTTCTCAACGAAGTCCCCAATCCCAAGGCAATGGAGGTTTCTGCGAGTCCGATGTCATCGCGTCATCCACTGATCCACCCTCCATCTGGGTCCGATGTAATCGGGTCACTCCAAAAGCATGTTTCTGACATGAAACTGCCAGGAGTTCCAAAGCGGGTGGTTGTTGGAGGATAGAAACTGTTCCACTTACTGGGGGTAAACAAGACATTTTTTCCTGGAACTCCTAGTGTCCTGGTGTGTCCTATTTAACAACAAGGATGCATGTCAAATAGGAAGAACCCATGAGAACAGCTTTCCTGATTGACTTTCTCAAAGCGAGCAAAGAGCACAACGTGTTGGGATGTGATAGGACACTTGACACGGTCCAGAACGGAAGCATGCAGTTCTTTATTGGTTGTGTCACTGTCCAAGCTTTTTGCAGGGAGATTCAGAATGGAAGCCTGCGGCGCACGCGGCAGTTCATCTCAATCCACATATTCCCTGGGTGGATGCTGAACGGCGCGGCCCGACATCAGGGATTGGATCCCGCTTGGCAAGCAGAAATATGCGGAAATCAATGAATTGACATCATTAAGTTGGAGGCCAGAAAGTAGGGATCCAAAATGACAGCAGCTGGCGAAATTTCCATAAATGTCCTTTGTTTTGCAGACTGCGCTGGTCTGCGCTGGTTTGTTCGGACGCCCATGTTTGAGACGGACATGATACAGTACAGTACAGTATAGTGTGTACACCTAAGGGCCTAGCTGTATGTCTTTGTGATTTGACTCAGGGAGTTTTGTATATACCTATTTTTGGGGGGCCAGCAACCTGAAAGCAGTATATAATCAATGTCAGATGAGGGATTGCTGGGTTCTCGGGGATTATGTACCAAGCTGTAAGTGCTGGCTACTGTAGGCTTTTTGAGATGCGTTGATTGGGGCATGTGTTTCGAAGGACTCCCTCTAAGGTTTGCCATGTCATGGACTGGGCTGTACAGAGTTCTACAATGTCCGCCTGCGCTACTTGAGGTGAGAAGTTGGCGCGCCTTGGAGCCAGGACAATGTGGCGAGTTTGTCAGTCCTTAACGCACCACAAGTAGTTTATAGTATTTTATACTCATATGGTCTTGACGAGCTTCGTGGGGGAGACTCGGAGACCAACAGGCCTTAAAACCTTTTGGTCTATCAGAACCTGACAGAAGAGCATGTCGCAACGCCAAAAATCACGAGCAATCTGTGGAGCGGATGTTGCCTTGAAGAGAACTGCAGAACAGCATCCAGAATCACGTGGTTGCTGACCACCTATATTCATCCGATTGGGCTTCCCAAGGTCCTGTTCCACACAACGTCAGTATTCGGATCTTTTTGGGGGGATACAAGGCGTGGCGGGTGCGGTGTGTCACCAGACACCAGCCCATATGCATCCATATGCCGGAAAGAATAACACTACGAGAAGACCACTAAGAGCTTCTGAGTAGAGATTGATTCTGTCGCGTGCAGACGTGACATTTGAGGCAGCAGTTCTCCTTCAAGCATCAACAGGACGAAAGTGCTCAGGCGCGGTTAATCGGTGCATGTATTAATGATGTTAAGACATGTTAAGACTATAGATCAATCATTTAGACCATTTAGAATATTGAATGATCAAAAGCACTTGTTTCTTTGGGCCAACAAGTCTTCAAGTCCTTGTTGATGGGTACTAGAACCTGCAAGCTTGACCGGCCGGCATTCCGTACTGCACAGGATGCGAAGGGGGGGGTCTAAGCCGTTGTCTTTCCAGAAATGGATCTTGGCTTTACATTTCAAGCACAGCGAGGCGGACATATAATGACATCTATCAGCTGTCATATTGGTCAATCTTGGTCGATCGTCCAAACATCCAGCATTCTTGGCTCAGCTTTGCTTGCAAGTCCGATCGTCCAAACTTGGCGCGATGGGAGCAGTGTGCAGTGTGGACAGCACCGAGATGATGGAAGAGTCGCAGATCTCGCAGATTGTGCTCACGGATGAAGGGGGCATCAAGCTGCCATCTGAGCGGAAGGTCTCATTCAATGACACCGTTGATGTGCATGAGTTCAATGTGCCGCGGGCATGATCTCTTCCAATGATTGTGAAAGTCAACTGCCACACTGGTGATTTCCCACTTGCAATGATTGACACAGTGTTTAGTACCAAGCTTGGGTGGGCAAGTGGTCAAGCCACGCCAGAAAGGCCCACCCTGGCACCTTGCACCACAGACGCCAGCAATGCTCTTCAATTCTCTGCACCAAAGTGACTTTTGTGCTTGGGTGCACCACAG